CCCCGCTTGTCCCCCCGCCGCTCCGAGTCCCGTGACGGCGGGCTGCGAGCAAGGAAGACCACGAGGCGGCGCTTGGTAAGAAGAGACGTTTAATGGGCCGGGTGCGGGTGGTTACAGTATCTCTCCTACCACACGTGGTCCTGCCGGCCCAGGCTGTGCTTTGTAAATACGCCGGCTCTCTCTACGGGCGACGGCGCGGCCTGTGCTGTGCCGGGACAGGCGGGTTTCCTTTTCCAGAGCCCGCCGGGGGTGCATTGCTGCGGAGGGAGGAGGCTGCGGCGGAGCAGGTGTCTGAGCCCCAGGCCTGCGTTCGGAACAGCTCCCCAGTTCAGCTCTAGCGTTTGGAAAGACCCGGCCCAAGCGCCAAGTCAGCGTTGGGGGTTGGACCAGGGCTTGGACCCGGGGATACTTCACACCAGGATGGGGGGTTCCCCAGCAGCTCTGTTGGTGCAACCCCCTTTGCAGCTGGGCCAGCAACCCAGATTTCTGGCCAGGCCCCACACAGGTCAAATCTCCATGTGGGCCTCCGCCTAGAGCAACGCCGGAAAGACCCGGCCCAAGCGCCAAGTCAGCGTTGGGGGTTGGACCAGGGCTTGGACCCGGGGATACTTCACACCAGGATGGGGGGTTCCCCAGCAGCTCTGTTGGTGCAACCCCCTTTGCAGCTGGGCCAGCAACCCAGATTTCTGGCCAGGCCCCACACAGGTCAAATCTCCATGTGGGCCTCCGCCTAGAGCAACGCCCTGGCTGGCCCTATAGCTCCAGCAGGGGACCCTCATTGCCCACACAGCCCCAAGCCAGGGGGAGTGTGTGGGGCAGCAGCCCCAGCAGCCAACGTGCATCAGGAGCGCGGCCAGCCCCGCTGGCCGGAGAGCACAAGGCTGCTGAGCCAAGCCAGCTTGGCCGGTGCTGGTGCTGTGGCCCTCTGGGCCAGCCAGAATGCAACCCAGCTGCACTGTGGGGCAGGGGGGTTGCCCCTGTGGGTTTTCAGGCCCCAGGGCAGATCAACAGCCCTGGGCCTGCCAAGGCGACTCTCCCTTGGGGTCACCCCCTAGCCAGGCAGAGGCCCGGCCCAGCGGCCAGCTGGTGAGAGAGGCCTTGCAAGCCCAGGCACGCCCGGCAGGAGGTGCAAGTTGGCCAGGCCTTAGCAACGCAATTCTTCCATAGAGGCTGTTGTGCTTTCTGGGGGTGGATCCTGTGCTAGAGTAACCCAGCCTCCCCTAGGCGGGCAGGTGAGGGGCCAGCTGAGGCCCCCAGGACAGGCAGGGAACCCCCCTTATTGCTCCGGACCCACGCCACTAATGCCACGGGCCTGCAACCTCTCTGTCTTGTGCAATTAGAGAAGGTAAAGTGCCCCCAGTCCTAACCGGCTCCTCGCATTGATCCTCGGCAAAGAAACCCTGCAGCCGGTCGGCTTTCACCCTTCCCCGGCCAAGATGCCATTCTACATAGACTAAAGCTGGTGATTAATACAAACTGAAGAGTGGCCAGATTACAGAAAAGTCTTAACATCACACACACACACACACATATACAGGTAGCACCTACTAACTGTAACACACACACACACACACACACTCACAGGTAGCACCTACTAACTGTAACACACACACACACACACACACACACACACACACACACAGGTAGCACCTACTAACCGTAACACACACACACACGCACACAGTAACTGCATACAGCACCTACCACTTCAACTCTGCCCCGCACCTACGACCTAGCAAGCGCCACGAGCAATACTGAACTTCCACGGGGCAAACGAAGGCAGCGCCCCCCCGTGGACAGTGCGGTGGGGGGCAGTTGCCAATCGCACACTCGGAAAGAAATGATAAATCTATCGACTCTCCGGTGAAAGTCGCCCTGTGCAGCACTGCGACGGGAAATGGCCCGTGGGTCCCGGGGGGATACGCTTGTCCTTGAACAGAATGTACACCGATATGTACAGAATAGATATACAGTCGCAATAGTCTAGCGAGTATGTAGCTATGTACAGACGCAGGCACGTCGCTCCCCTCACGCCACGCGAGGGAGGGACCGAGGGGATTTGCTGCGGGCTCCAAAGCGTGGCCCAGGAGAGCTGGAGCAAGCCCAAATCAGCTTCCCGGGAGTGGCTGGAACAACGTGGTTTCATACTCGCTGGGATCTCGCCCCACTGGCTCCGGTTGGCGGGTGGCATCTGCTGGGGCTTGGTTGGGGCCAAACTGACTCCAATGTTGCTCCAGTGGATTTCCACCCGCTGGACTCTGCCCCATAACTCCAGGGCTGTGTCTAGACTGGCCAGTTTTTCTGGAAAATCAGCTGCTTTTCCGGAAAAACTTGCCAGCTGTCTACACTGGCCACTTGAATTTCCGCAGAAGCACTGACTTCCTACTGTAAGAAATCAGCTTCTTGCGGAAATGCTATTCTGCTCCCGTTCGGGCAAAGGTCCTTTTGCGCAAAAGGTCCAGTATAGACAGCTCAGATTTGTTTTCCACAAAAAAGCCCCGATCACGAAAATGGCGATCGGGGCTTTTTGCGCAAAAGTGCGTCTAGATTGGCCACAGATGCTTTTCCACAAAAAGTGCTTTTGTGGAAAAGCGTCCGTGCCAATCTAGACTCTCTGTTCCGACAATGCTTTTAACGGAAAACTTTTGCGTTAAAAGCATTTCCGGAAAATCATGCCAGTCTAGACGTAGTCCAGGGGTGTGACACCAATTGACACCCCCTCGGGCTCTGCCCCGTAACTCCAGGGGTGTGACACCGATTGACACCCCCTGGGGCTCTGCCCCGTAACTCCAGGGGTGTGACACCGATTGATACCACTGGCTGGCCTGGCCTAGGGTGGTGGGGGGCAGGCAGGTTTATTGGTATCACTCCTGATTTACACTGGGCTGAGAAAGGGAGCAGGCAGTGCCTGGCCAAGCCGAGCTGTGTAATTACCCCCGAGACAAGCCCGCTGGCTGGTGTAAACTGGAGTAACAGCTAGGACATCGCTGGAGCTAGGCTGCTGGGTGATGTGACCATAGCTTGGGAAGCCTCATGGAGGGAAGAGCTGATTGTTAGAGCAGGGAGACAGATTCACTGGCCCACTCTGTGCCTCAGTTTCCCCAGCTGCAGAATGGCTCCTGCGGGGCTCAGTTCATGGGAAATGGTTATTTTGAGGCTCCCCAGCTGCATGAAGGAGGCCTCAGAAGAAAGGGCGCGAGGGGCAGAAAAGGTGCGTATGGAAAGGGACGAAGCCCGTCGGTCTTTCCCTGTTCGCTCCGGAGGGGGTGGAGCCCTGTGAGCAGGAAATCAAAGGGCGAAAGGGGAGAAGGGCTCATAGCCCTGGCATGGACCAGGCAAGGCTGGCTAGGCTATGCGCTGGCACGGAACCAGCGAGCTGCTCCACGTGCCACCGGAGCAGGCAGGGCAGCTTAGAAACTTACGAGGGGCCTTTGGCTCTCGGTGCACTGCTGGGGCAGCCGCGGATTGCGAGCTGGAGAGACAGCAGCCTCCCCTGCCCCCAGGGGCCCAGATGCAGGATCAGTAAAGCTTGCCCAAGTGGCTGTGAGGACTCCATCCGGGGCCCTAATTGGCCCCGACAGATCCTAGTTGCCTCAGATGGATGGGAGAGCCCCACAATTACTGCCTCTCCATGCAGGCCCTCCGTCCCACAGATGGGGTAGCCCTCTGGCTGCAGGAGCCAAGCAGAAAGACCAACACCTGGCAGCCAGGTACGGGAGACCCGTAATGCACAATACAGCGCTCCCCCAAACACAGCTGGAGCCTCCGAGCCAGCTACGCCCGGGGTTCGGGCCACTGACATCCCCAGAGATGCACCAGGGAGGAATTTGGACCCTCACTTGTAGATGCACGAGGCTAGTGAACACAGACACACACACACACGGTCGGCGTGCGTGGCACCCACACGACGACCACCAGGGTATAAATAAGGGCAGGGTTTAGATCCCGGGCTCTGAACTCGAGCGTTACTGGAACCAAGAACCCAGCTTCTCGCTCGGCGGGCTAGGGGACTGCTTGCCTTTCTTCCGCCCAGCACATTGGAAACGAAGCTCCGAAGCAGGTTTTGCAGCCAGCCCAGCTGCAAAACCCCGGGGCGATGCCTGGGGTCACCCCTAGTCTAGCCCAGTGTCACCAGGCATGTGCGCCCAGTGGAACGCAGTTTGAGTGGAGACCCTGCCCCGGCTCCTGGGGACGATCCCTGGGCGCCAGTTGCTGCCACTCACTCTCCCGCGTTGTCCACACGATGCAGGCTGG